AAGACAGCCCTCAGATTGGGAGAAAATAATAGCAAACGAAGCAACAGACAAAGGATTAATCTCAAAAATATACAAGCAACTCCTCCAGCTCAACTCCAGAAAAATAAATGACCCAATCAAAAAATGGGCCAAAGAACTAAACAGACATTTCTCCAAGGAAGACATACAGATGGCTAACAAACACATGAAAAGATGCTCAACATCACTCATTATCAGAGAAATGCAAATCAAAACCACAATGAGGTACCATTACACGCCAGTCAGGATGGCTGCTATCCAAAAGTCTACAAGCAATAAATGCTGGAGAGGGTGTGGAGAAAAGGGAACCCTCTTACACTGTTGGTGGGAATGCAAATTAGTACAGCCACTATGGAAAACAGTGTGGAGATTTCTTAAAAAGCTGGAAATAGAACTGCCATATGACCCAGCAATCCCACTTCTGGGCATATACACCAAGGAAACCAGATCTGAAAGAGACACGTGCACCCCAATGTTCATCGCAGCACTGTTTATAATAGCCAGGACATGGAAGCAACCTAGATGCCCATCAGCAGACGAATGGATGAGGAAGCTGTGGTACATATACACCATGGAATATTACTCAGCCATTAAAAAGAATTCATTTGAATCAGTTCTAACGAGATGGATGAAACTGGAGCCCATTATACAGAGTGAAGTAAGCCAGAAAGATTAAGACCATTACAGTATACTAACACATATATGTGGAATTGAGAAAGATGGTAACGATAACCCTATACGCAAAAGAGAAGAAGAGACTCAGATGTATAGAACAGACTTGTGGACTCTGGGAGAAGGCGAGGGTGGGATGTTTCGAGAGAACAGCATCAAAACATGTATATTATCTAGGGTGAAACAGATCACCAGCCCAGGTTAGGTGCATGAGACAAGTGCTCGGGCCTGGTGCACTGGGAAGACCCAGAGGGATCGGGTAGAGAGGGAGGTGGGAGAGGGGATCGGGATGGGAAATACATGTAAATCCATGGCTGATTCATGTCAATGTATGACAAAACCACTACAATATTGTAAAGTAATTAGCCTCCAACTAATAAAAATAAATGAAAAAAAAAAAAGGAATTACCATATGATAAAGCAATTTCACTTCTGGGTATATACCCCAAAGAATGAAAAGCAAGGTCTCAAAGAGATATGTGTATACCCATGCTCAGAGCATCATTATTTATGATAGCTAAAATGTGGAAGCAACCTAAATATCCATAAACAGATGAGTAGATAAGCAAAACATGCTATATACATACAGTGGAATATTACTCAGCCCTAAGAAATTCTGACATATGCTACACTGTGATAAGTTTTGAGAACTAGGTGCAATAAGCCAATTACAAAAAAACAAAATCTATACGAATCCACTTGCATGAGGTTTTTTTTTCCCTTAGGTATTAAAAAATCATAGAAAGTGGAATGGTGGTTGCTAGGGGGATGGGAGAGAGGCGATAGTAGGGAGTTATGTTTAATGGGTATAGATTTTTAGTGTTATAAGATGAAACAGTTATGAAGATGGATGATGGTGATGGTTGCACAATATTATGAATGTTTTTATTACCACTAAACTGTACAATCAAAATTGGTTAAGATGGTAAATGTTACAGTATATGTGTTTACCACAAAAAATATTGGAAGAAAAACAAAAGAGACCTTGGGGGAGTACTGGAAGAACTAACAAGAAAAAAAATATGAAAATATTTAAAAGATATACAGGATACATCGTAAGGATTCAAAAGAAAAGAAAGGACATTTAAAAAGAATTCCAAAAGAAAAGAAATGACAGTGAATCAGTATTGAAGCAATGTGTAAGAATTTTTCAGAATTGAGAACTTGAGGTTTCAAAAGGGACAGTAAAATTAAAACTAAAAAAAAAAAACAAAGCTAAATAAAATAAAAAAGAGAAGCATGCACAAACTAATGACAAGAGTATGCCACGAACTTAAGTGATACGACTGTCCTAGATCTTTGTACTTGAGAATTTTTTTTAATTAAAATAAAATAAAACACACAAAACAACCAGGCCAAGCACAGGAACAAAAGCAAATTCAGGACACTTGTTTACATCTGAAGAGGAAGAGAGAAAAATGAGGATAGGAGAGTATACAACAATGTATTTTTTATATTCACTGTTTCTTCTTACAATGAGAAGAAAACACAAAAAACTGAAGCAAATATAGCCAAATGTTAAAACCTGATAAAAATGAGTGTGGGTACATGTATATTTATGATAGTAGTCTCTATTTGTCTCACTCGATATTTAAAATACTACAGAAAAACCAACAGAATATAAAAGAACAAAAGCAAAAAGTTTACATGAAAATGATGGCTCAGAGGTAAAGAATTGGCCTGCAATGTAGGAGACACGAGAGGTGGGAAGATCCCCGGAAGAGGAAATGGCAACCCACTCCAGTATTCTTGCCTGGAAAATCCCATGGACAGAGCCTGGTGGGCTACAGGCCATGGGGTCACAAAGAGTCGGACATGACTGAGCTACTGAGCATGCAGGCATGATGATATCAAAGGCAGCGTGTAAAGATGGTAGCAGTTTGGTATTCCAGGGTAAAAATCTGAATAGGATAGTATCTAGAAAAAAGTGTGTGATCAAAAATGAAGCTTATTATTTTTTAATTTAAAGATAATTGTTTTACAATATTATGTTGGTTTCTGCCATATATCAGCATGAATCAGCCATAGGTATACCTACTTCCTCTCCCTCTTGAACCTCCATCCCACCTCCTACCCCATCCCAGCTTGATGAAAGGTTGTCACAGAGCCCCAGTCTGAGTTCCCAGAGTAATACAGCAAATCCCCACCAGCTACTTATTTTACATACGGTAATGTGTATGTTTCCCTGCCACTCTCTCCATTCATCCCACTGTCTACTTTCCCTCTCCCTGTGTCCATAAGTCTATTCTCTATGTAGGTGTCTCCACTGAAACTGAAAGTGTTAGTCACTCAGTCATGTCCAATTCTTTGTAACCCCATGGACTATAGCTCTCCAGGCTCCTCTGTTCATGGAATTTTTCAGGCGAGAATACTGGAGTGGGTTGCCATTCCCTTCTCCAGGGGATCTTCCCTACCCAGGGACCGAACCCAGGTCTCCCACACTGTGGGCAGCTTCTTTACCATCTGAGCCACCAGGGAAGCCACCAACGGAAGTGTTCACTGCTGCCCTGCAAATATGTTCATCATATTGTACCACTGTTCTTGATTCCAAATATATGCATTAATATATGAGATCTGTTTTCTTCTGACTTACTTCATTCTGTATAATAGGCTTTAGGTTCATCCATCTTATTAGAACTGACTCAAATGCATTCCTTTTATGGCTGAGCAATATTCCATTGTACATATGTACTACAGCTAAAAATGAAGCTTATAATTTAATTAATGAGAGAAGAATCTTTAACATGTCTATACATAGACTATGTAAAAGAATGAATAACAAAGAGTAACTAAAAGAAAGGACAGAGAAAGAATAAGTGTTCAAATAGGTTTGGGGGGACAAAATGACAAATGGGATGATTGCCTATTCACTGAGACTTTAGTGAAAGAAAGACTATATTTCAGATTTAGATTAAAAAGGGTTTATAGCTTTGGGAGTTATCAATTAAGTAAACTACATTGATAGCTTTTATTTTTTCTGTGAAGTACAGGAAGTAGTCAACTCAACTGCTAAGTAGAAAGTGGAAGTAGAAAATGGAAGATTCAAAAATAAATGTTTATTTGGGTCATTTTAGCCCTACAGTATAAAATGTGACATTTGACTATAAATGAAACTGCTGGTGGCAAGATAAATTTGAACTTTCCTTAAGTTCACTCCGGGCAAAAGATTAAATAGATGTATCATTTTGGAAACAATGGAATGATGGATAATTAACTTGTAATGCATAAATTCTGTTCAAGTTCACTTTAATCAGAAGTGGATTTGGGGAATGACATATTTAAGAGCTTCCTCCAAGTAAAGAGAAGATCCAAATTCTCAAAGGAACTATTCTTGCTTGCAATTATACATGCTCCCCACACGTAACTCAAATTATCTTGTTGTATTGATTAGTTATATATGTTAGCAAGTAAAGATAATTTTCTGAATTTCAATGCTAAAATTATCTTGTTGTATTGATTAGTTACATTTGTTAGCAAGTAAAGGTAATTTTCTGAATTCAATGCTAACATGCAAAATGTCTAAGAAGTTCAACCTTTTGACTTTTCATCACATGTCTGCTAAATTCAAATGTGCACTATCACAGGGACTACTAGAGAGGAGCTCAAACTTTCCACAGGAAAAGCTATATACAACAACATACTTTGTTAAAGATTTTAAATGCTAGAATTATGTAAAGTTTATGCTGTCCTCAAAAAGTAGTTGATTTGTAGACTTCCAAAGAGATCTTCTTCTGCCTTTATAATTTGGCATCATAGATCAGTATATCACAGACTCAACTTCACATATATGAGAACATTCAGCATGAGAAAGATACAAAAAGCAATGATCACCTTAGGTAGTTGAATTGAAGAACAAAGAAAAGATATATTAATTTTAACTACAAGTCCTATATTCTTCTCACTACCCCAATTAACTTCACATTCAAAGAATACATTTGACTTAGAACATGATGGAAAATTGCAAAGAAGTGAATCACTTCAAAGAGAATATAAATCATTTGAAATATCTGACAAAAGACTCAACAGTATTATTCTAAAATATAATTAACTATAGTTCTAATTAATTTATAAGATTGTGTTCCCCAGCCCAGGTTGGGTGCATGAGACAAGTGCTCAGGCCTGGTGCACTGGGAGGACCCAGAGGGATGGGGTGGAGAGGGAGGTGGGAGGGGGGACCGGGATGGGGAATACATGTAAATCCATGGCTAATTCAATGTATGACAAAAACCACTGCAATGCTGTAAAGTAATTAGCCTCCAACTAATAAAAATAAATGGGGGAAAAAAAAAAAAAAAGATTGCGTTCCATACTTTTCTATCTCTGAATCCAGAACGTTTCTTCTTTTTCTCTTCTGGATAAGGCTCAAGACAAACACCTGCAGCCTTTTTTTCAGCATTACAATCTTCCCCTTCCTCTTTACTCTTCCCTTTATCACCAAGTTCACTCTTGATGTTGTTTGCAGATGGTGGAGATTCTGCAAGGGCCCTGGATGTGCAAAAAATAAAAATTAAAAAGTCTATCAATCAAGAAGGTCCATCATATTAAACAAATAGATTCTCAGGTAGAGCTTAGCAGGAGTAATAGCAATGAAATTCATTAAAAATTCTACAAGAAAAGGTTGCTCAAAAAATGAAAAATAGAACTAACATAAAATCCAGCAATTCCACTTATGGTTATATATCCAAAAGAACTGAGAGCAGGGTCATGAGGAGATTTTTGCACTCATGTTAATAGCACATTACTCATAATAGCTAAAACGTGGAAACAACCCAAATATATGCTGATAGATAAAACGGATAAAAGAAATATGGTATACTCATATATAGAATAATATTAAGCCAGAAATCAATCCCTTTTCCATAAAAGAGATAACTGGAAGAATAAAAGTACATGCAGGAATAGGATGGTCAGTTAACACTCACCTTTTCCACAACAGACCAGTACTTGCAGTTATTGCAGATGCTCCAAGAAAAGCCACCATCATTAGCCGTCGCCTGATCTGGGTGGGCTGTGATCCTCCATGGTACCATCGAGAGCGCACTGCCAGCTCTGCCAGTGCAGAGAGTGAGTTAAGACGAAACATCCTATGGACAAAAAGTAGAAATATTATTCCTAGCAAATGGCAGTGACAGTGATGATGATGATAATAACAGTATTAAAACCAATAAACACTAGATATTTAATGGCAGACAGTCTTCTAAACACTTGACAATACCATGCATTATCCCATTAAATCCTCAGAACAATCAAATGAGACAAATACTATGACTCATAAACCTGATATATCAGTTAAGGTACAATTAGAAGAAACCACATGGTAATTTGAACAGGGAAAGTTTAACATAAAGCATTATTAATTACAATAGGCAAAGAAATACTAAGGGGTAGAGACTTCAGATACAGGGAGCAGTCACTACTTACAGGGCTATTTCAGAGCAACAAAAAAGGAATATATCTGTAAAGGGGCCACTCCCAACTGGGCTGAGATCAGACACTGTGGTGAGGATGCAGCTATGGATGTCTGAGAAATTTGCTTAAGTGCTATACTAAAAAACTCACTGTAAAGCCATCCACAAGTGACTGAAGGAGAAACGGGCATTTCTTCTAGATTACATGACTTTTTGTAGTGGCAATTCATTCAAATCACAAAAAGTAACCATGCTTCTCCTCTTTGATTTTCTCAAAGCATAGTTTACTTCTTCCTGATTTAAATTATCTTGTACTTTGTACATATACTCACATATTCACATATTTGTAACATACATAAGTTTGCCCCACCTTCAACATACATACTTGGTTCTGAGTTTCCTTTAAGGTCAAAATTATTCTTTATCTTTCTGAAAACAGTCTAACACAGAGGTCATTACATTATAACTGCTTAAAATATTTAACAATTTTACTTTAATATGAAAAATATTAAGTTACAAATTACACAGGTACTGGCTCTGTACATTTAAGTATATTTCTCAGCCCTGATATACTATGTCTTTTGCTGTTTGGGTCCAAGTCAAGTTAGACTACTTAGTTGTCTCCCTGACTGGTTACTGACTCTTCTCTGAGATCAATATCTATAATCTCAAGTATATCTTTCTCCTAGCCTCCTTCATTCAACCTAGCTCCAACATCAAAGTTGGAGCTAAATCTTGCCCTTACAGATAAAGTGGAAAATTAGTAGTTTTTTCTATGTCATATAACCTAAGCTTCAGCAACACAATTCTTACATTCCTTTCTATCCTAGAAGTCACTCATTTTATTGCACATAATCTAGCAAATTCCAGCACCAAGGAGATCGTCCTTTTGTTTTCTTCCTGTCAGTCAACTTCCAATTCACTTTTAAATTTACATTTTCCAAACCCACAAGTGCATTCATACACAGCATTGCTTCTGTCTATAACAAAAACAAGCACAACTAAAATACTCATATCTGGTGAAAACAATATTCATCATTGACAACAGAAAGAAAAGGGCACTTGAAAGTTTTCAATGTGAAAGACAAATAACAACCAATCCAAAAGCTGGACCAGGGATTTCCCTGGCAGTCCAGTGGTTAAGATTCTGTGCTCTCACTTCTGAAGGCCTGGGTTCAATCTCTGATTGGGGAACTAAGGTCGCGCAAGCTGTGTAGCATGGCCAAAAAAAAAAAAAAAAATCTAACTGCATAAGAGATGTGGAAGACAAACAGGAAAGAAACTAAAATAATAATGACAACGTTGAGTAATACAGAAGGTGAAAGGGAATAGGAATCCAATGACTCAAGATCTAGTCTCAACTCTACTACTAAACAGCTGTGCACAAAGTAAGCTCATCTCTCCTCCCCAGAGAAGAGTTTATCTACTGATGAGAGAACTGCCTACAGGAGTTTTAGGGTTTGTTTTCTCTCTTTCATGTTCTCATACCTCTGGTGAAAAAAGATAAGGCAAAATTTAATCTATTTCAGTTAGGGGGAGAGACTAAAACAGTATATACACGGTTCAAAACTTACTAGCTTTGAGAACCCATTTCTGTATGCTATGGCTTCAGGGGATTTTAAACTTTGGAGGTCCTGAGTTATAGGAACATTCCACTTACATTTGGCATTGTTAATTCAAATGTTACTGTCTACATCTCACTTCACCACTGATTCTAATCTCATTCCCCAAAGTACACATCAAAATATATATCTATTCATCTTCTCTAGTGCCATTTCCAAAGGTGCCAAGTAAACTGAGGGAAAAAACTATCCCCCTGAGAACAGACAATTATAATTTAATTCCCAGCTTTGTACTGAAGAAATGGTGTAACTAGTTGAATGTGCCAATTTTTGATGAGAGACCATTTAAACAGATTTAAGGAGATCCACTTTCCAATTGAGTCTGGAAAACTGAATAGGCCAATTGGCAGCAGTTATGTAGTAATGAAGATTAACATGTACATTTATGACATGGATTAAATTAAATCAAAACCAGTGCATTTTTCTCTTCCCTAAGAGTCCCCATCCTTCTCCAAAAAAAGCGTGCCTCTAAAAAATAACTTTTATGTGAACTGAAAAAAGATGAAGAGGTATTTCTAATCAAGAAATGTCAGGGGAAGCAAGTAAAATATAATTCTGTTACCGAAGAAAAGCATTATCCATGCAACAAGAAACAGAACAAGTTAGTTAAAAACAAACAAACAAAAACCTGTAACAGTATAACATTACTGTTTCCATATCTATTCCTTTTAAACTATTATGCTTAAGGTATCGCTTTTGGTAAATTTCAAAGGGGCACAGAACCAGAAAATCACTTAATTAAATATCCATATTTTACAGGTGAAGGAACAAAGATCCAGATAAGTTATGCGGTTTACTTATAGCTAATTAGTACAAAAACCTAATCAGTACAGTAGATCCTAAAATTCTTGATTCCCAAATAAGCAACCCAAGGAAGGGGAATCACTTTAATTAACTGTTCGCAGCAAAATAAATATAACAACCACACTTCAGAAGGAGATCAAGTGTCCAACCATAGAAAGATAAACAATTTTATAATAACAGACTACAATGTAATACAAATATTAAAATTATAACCATTAGAAAGTATTAAATATTATTTCACAAGCCAACAGAAAGCTGTGCTAAAGATATAAAAAGACAGTTGGGAAAAGAAATAAACATGGCCCTGTAAGCTATGAAAAGATACTTAATATCACACATAATAAAAGAAAGCAAATTAAAAATATATTGAGGGCTTCCCTGGTGTTCTAGTGGCTAAGAATCCACCTTCCAATGCAGGGGACATGGGTTCGATCTCTAGTCCAGGAAGACCCCACATGCCACGGAGCAATTAAGCCAGTGCCTCACAGCAACTGAGCCCACACGCTGCAGCTACTGAAGCCGGGGTGCCGAGAGCCTGTGCTCTGCCACCAGAGAAGCCGCCTCAGTGAGCAGCCCAGGCATCACGACAGTGACCCTCACTTGGGACTCGAGGAAGCCTGCACGCAGCGACAGTGACCCAGCACGGCCAATAAAAGAAATAAATCCCTTTAAAAAACCTATACTGACATTCACTCATTAAGCTGGCAAAATCCGGAAGTTTGAAAACATACTTGTTAGCAGTGCTGTAGAAACGGCACTGCTGAGGAATGTGTAAATTGGTACAATCTATGGAGGGCAATTTGGTAATATCCATCAAAATCATCCAAGTAAGTTGCATACATTGACCTAGCAATTCCACTTCTGACTTAATACACTACTGATACACTTGCACACCTCTGAAATTACACATATAGACAGCTATTCACTGCATCATGACTGTAACAAACCCACCTCTTTGCGACCTCGTGGACTGTAGCCTGCCAGGCCCCTCTGTCCATGGAACTCCCCAGGCAAGAATACTGGAGTGGGGAACCACTTCCTTCTCCAGGGGATCCTCCCAACCCAGGGATCAAACCTGGGTCTCCTGCATTGCAGGCAGATTCTTTACCATCTGAGCCACCAAGGAAGCCCATGAAACAAACAGCAAAAGACTAAAAACCACCCCAAAGAGAATCAAGAGAGAACTGCTTAAACTAAGGTAATACACACAGGGCAATAACACATAGCGATTAAAAGAGAAAGAAACAACTATGTATATATTTGAAAAGATTTTCAAAACATATTGTTATCTTAATAAAGCAAGGTGTGGGATAGCATATGTAGTACACTACCCTTCATGTAAAAAGAGGGGAAATAAGAATGCATATTTGTATATTCTTATTAAGTAACTCTGGAAGGACACACCAATAGTATGTGTCCTATACCAATATGAATAAAAGTAAGTAATACCAGTAGTGCTGTCAGGGTTGGGAAATGGGTGAGATATCCGACAGGGAGATTTTTATGACATAGCATTTTATTTTTAAAACTACACTTAAGTATTCATCTAGACAAAGAGTATTTCAAACAAGCATCTTCACTGAAGTTTAAAGACAGATACAAGGTAATATGTGCATGCCAATTAAATAAAGTAAAATATATGTGCAGCTTTTTAATTTAGAAAAAATATTTAGATGATGCAAATAAAACTTAATGATTATTCTGGGGAAAGAGTTTACTTAAACTTTCTCATTCAAAGAAAAATAAAGGCAGGCCCAAGTTGATGTTTTGTCATTTACCAGCCCTATGAACAGGCTGAGGTCCAATAATGCCTCAGAAAACAACCTACTGAGTGAGGTCTGCTCAGTTGTGTCCGACTCTTCACGACTCCATGGATTTAAGCCTGCCACACTCCTCTGTCCATAGGATTTCTCAGGCAAGAATACTGGAATGGGTTGCCATTTCCTTCTCCAGGGGATCTTCCCAACCCAGGGTAGGGATCGCACCCAAGTCTCCCACATATCAGGCAGACCACCTTAAAGGCCCCCTAAGCTTTAACTCCCTGTATTAACTACATATATTATGGCAAACTTCCCTAGTAAGATAAGACTTACTTAAATCAAATTCACATCCCAATACTCAGATTACTGGCACATCCTGATTCAACTTATCAAACTATTAAGATTCCAGACTTTATCCTGAGCCTGACTTAAATATCTGCTTATACTCTATGTTATGCCCCTGGTATTTATGACCTCTGACAACTGCACA